GTTCTTTCATTTTCGCTTAAATGACCATCATTTTCTTGGCGCGTATGGGTTTGTCCTTGTATTTCATTTCTTGCTTCCATAGCAGAATAATCAATTTCATCAGTATCAATATCCATTTTTACGTCATTATAAGTACTATGCGAATTGGTTTGTTCCATTTGGATGATTTCATTTAAGTTTGATTTGTTTCCGTCTCGCGTCGGGACATCAATTTATTTCCTCTTCATAGTTTCACAGGCTAAATCGGTACCCCTGAAAAATGTAGCACTGGGGTTAAGATTGCTGGTCGTGTAACGTGATCGAATATCGTGACAGATTAGCATAATGCATGAATATTAGATGTATATAATTGTGTATATATTATTGTTTTTATGTAAAATATTAGCAATAATAAATATATAAAGCGACGATCCAACAGGGGAGTCGCGAAAAGTAATATTTTGTGATTATTGCTGTGGTGGAAGTGCATACTTGTACTTAAGTAGTATAATAAGGCAAATACCAAATAATATTATCTACGGTGTTGAGAACCTTCATGAAAATAGCTGAACGACTTCTGATTATGACTACTTTCGAAAAAATAAATTTTTTCGGTTTCTTCAAAGCTAAAAAAGATCACTATTTTTTGTCAGCGATTGTACGCAATTCATTTGTGATGTATTCAAGCATTTTCCAAATAGATAAAATAAGTATTAGTGAAATTATGACCCTAAAGTTGCCTAGATTATTGCTTTTCGGCCTTTTGAAAATTTGGGTGTACGCGTTAATAATTGTCTATTCGCTTCGTCCAAAGGGTAATTTTTAATATTAGATGTGTTGTTATGCAAACATTTTAGTAAGACATCGTTTACGAGAGAAACAATTTTTATAAAATCGCAAAACGCAAAGTATTTATTTTTACTCTTAAAAGATGCAAATTTCGGTAGAATGTTAAAATGAGCGTTTAACTGAATGAAACCATGCGTCTTACCAACTTCATTAACTTCATTATAATTGATTTTGACAATGTTAGCATATAATAAAAGTTATATCTATAAAAAGTATTTCTTTGAAGTAGAAGTTTCGAATTTCGCGTGAACAAGTGATATTATTAAACTTGAAAGCGTATAATTACATGTAGTTTAGTGTTAGGGTAGACAGAAATTTGTGGTATTAATCACTATATATAATAATAAGCTAAATTAACACAGGACATTAGGTGTACACAATGCGAATTTAAAAATCACCATTACTAAGTACTGAGTTTCTAGGCCACCCATTCTGCAAATGCTGGCACGTGCACTATAAATAGGTTATGTGTTTGGTATATACAGTAGTAATTAAGGTTGGTAAAGTCCTTAGCAGTGTTTAAAATTCAGCTTCAATGTTGTGGGCGGGCCCGCATATTACATATAGACCTTGGTGCGCTGCAGCGCACATAAAAATTTTTTTAAATATGCGCAACAAATTGCTCCAAGACTGCAATATATATGATGCTGCCAAGAAAACATAACTTACAATTATTAAATAGATTATAAATTTAATAATAATCTATTTTTAGAATTGCATGTTTTTATTTGGTGATACTCATATATAAACTCTGTCTTTGCATTTTAATTTCGTTGTTAACGATATATTGCTAATTATGCAAAATATCTACCGGTAATTTATTAATTCTTAAGCTCAATGGTTACGTGAATGGAGCTCAAAAAACTATAACCATTGGCTCCATTCAGAGCTCCATTGGTTATGTGAATGGAGCTCAAAAAACTATATCCATTGGCTCCATTCAGAGCTCCATTGGTTCCATTCGCAGCTCCATTGAGCTCCATTGAACTCCATTGCCAACCTTGGTTTGAAGTTATGAAACTTAAGCGCAGTGGGAGAGGTGCCAATTCGTATGGGCGGATTTTTATCAATTGGGTCCTGAATGGAGCCACTAAATTTGGGTTAAACCCCTTATTTAGTTTTTTTGATTGGTCTGACGAATGATTAGGACAATTGTTTTGATTTTTCGAGGGTCTATTCTGCAAAAAGGATTTAATGAATATGCATAAAGCCCATTAGATTATCTCAAAACCCATTAGATTATCGTCTAATTTATTAGCGAGACATGCAGTTTGACATAGTTATTGTTATGAAAAATAAACCTTCCGTCTCAGTCTTTCAGACAATTGTATTGTCAATAACCTGTTCCACTATAAAAAATTTTTTTTTTAGGGGTAATAGGTTCTCTCTTTTGCATATTGATACAAATCCGCCCATACGTTAAATAATTATGCTATATTGCAAATATTGGTTGCCGCATAAGCACGTGACTTATTGGAATCTCAAAGCGTAAAGAACGTTAAACGAAATTTCAATTTCAAACAGCCTAATCTTTATCATACTATATACAGTCAGACCTCCCTAAATGCAATGCGACGGGACCATATATAAAAATTTAGTCAAACATGCACTTAGAGAGGTATTGCATTTAGGGAAGTAAAAATCTATAGATGTAATATTAGTTGGGCCCAAGAGAAGACGTGCATTTAGGGAGGTGTTTCATAGGACGTGCACTTAGGGGGGTAGCATTTAGAGGGGTCTGACTGTATAATGTTGCATGGTAAATATAGCACGTCAAAACTTAAAAAAAATATGAATTTAAAATTTTTAATGTGCGCAAAACGCATATATTATTAATCTTTAAGGTGCGGAAAAATTTTTTTAATGTGCGCTCCGCCCTTCTGCACATCAATTTTAGGTAAGATCCGGGACTTTGGACTTAGTATTTAAACCTAATATTTAAAGACCAAGTCCACCTAAGGTTCTTAGGTCCCTAAAAAGTCCTAATGTATAAATTTTATAATTTATTAAAAATAACAAAATTCATTATTTATTTAAAATTTTGATTATTAACAATTTGCTATTATGCAGTGTTTTACTTGCCAAGTACAGAAGTATGTACGTACGTACGTACGTACGTACGTATTACATTTCAGATTCGAATAATTGATTAAAAGTGAATCAATATAAATAAATTATCCGGCAGCTTACTATGATAGTGCTTGCCAAATAACTCGAGTTATTGGCTGCTTCGCATCCAATAACTATATATTATTTAACTGTAGATTTTGCAAATTCCAACAGCAAATATCTACAATTGCAGAATTCTGAACAGCCTAATCGATATACTGTATATATACTGTATATAACTTCAACAAAGCCAACCTTTAGATACATAATTTAAGATCATGATCATTTATTTCATGTATACAAACTGTTTCATAATATATACGTATTATTTACACATTCTATATAATAGATCAAATATCAATATATGCATATAGCGGATCTAGGTTCTAGGACTTGGTCTTGGACTAGACCTAAGTTAACTTAATAAGGACTTTCCATGCAATAAAACCTACAGGTTATGGGACCAGGACCAGGACCGGGCTTTAACATCCCTAATAGTAATATCGTTATGGTCATTATATCTCCTATATAAGGTTGTTACGTACATAGTAACATAGTAAGTCACCATAGTAAGTTACTACCATAAAATTTTAATAATGGTTTCAATTAGATGACTTGGTGAAGCAATATATGCAATTTTAAGTAATGCAAATAATCTAATACGTACTGTAACGTATCAATAAATTAAAATAGCTTTTTAATTTTAAAATTTAAGTACTTCCGATTTATTAGGTAATTTATATATATTTGATTATTAAATATATGTATATATTATATCTATTTTATTACTTTACAAATAATGAGAATAAAACTATATAGGATGTTATCGGTTCATCCTATATATCAGTCGGCTGTTAAATAAATAAGCCGATCGAACCGACTATAATTAAAGATAATTAAACATATATATTAAGCAATGATAGATTATTTTAAGACACAAAATGCGCGATATGAAATAAGCTTGTCGCAGTCATTT